CATATTTGATTGTTAAATGGAGTTTACCAAGTTAAAATACATCCCGCGGGCTGGCAAACTCTCGCGGTAACTCTCGCGAGACTTGGGGCTGCGCGGCTCGGCTTTACCACCGCTGCAACTAAACCCCACTTAAGGTTACATCGGCGGTGTCAACATAACTCTCAGTAAACACCGAAGTAGAACGAGGCACAAAACCCTCATATACTGTATTTTTAAGACGATACTGACCTGTACAAATAAAGGTAGAGTCTCAGAGAAAGAATCACACGAGCACTCGTATCTTTTCCCGAATTGTGTCTGAGAGGACAGGAAGTAGGTCCGCTCTAGGCAACCGCGGGCGAACGACTACAGTGTCAACAGTTCCGCTTATTATTTCTCACTTTTACTCTCCTCAATTGTTATGGACTACACGTAATGAATGTAAAATAATAATTGTCTTAATTGCTGGCATATATTTTTCTTAAAAATAATAAAATTTATCAAAATGTATAGCACATTTGTGTTCACCACATGCTCCCCAACAGGAAAAGTGGCTCCTGACACTTAACTTGAATTATAAAAATAAAAACTTTAAACTAACAAAGTCTCTTTACAGAAGTCCCTGGAATATTCCTCTTGCCCAGGTGTCCTTAACATTCAGGCATCCTTCTTCCTGAGATTTCTGTTTGATTCAATAGCCAGGAACAACATATGAAACAGGTAAGTAAGGGCTAAGGGTAAGGGGAGAGGGGTAGGGGGGCTGGGAGTAGAGAAGAGGGTAGTACAGGGAAGGATATGGCGAAGGCTGGACGTTGATGGTGTTCACCGCAGGATGAGCCTGATAGGCTGGTTGACCCAAGGACGGGTAGGTGAAGAATGTGGTGGGACGTCTCTGCCTGCTGGACTGCCTAAGATGAGGTGGTGGCTCTGGATGGATGTCATCCCCTGGCTCCACCCTGGGTTCCGGCTCTGGGTCAGGAACCTCTACTGGATCAGGACTGGACTCAGTGACGTCAACTTCTTCTTGAACCTGAGGCATCTCCTGATCGTCACTTAGCTGAGGTAGGTCTGAGTCTCTTAACACGATTAGATCCTCTTCCGGAACCATGCCACTTTTTTTTCCTAGGTTGGACACGAGCCCTTAAGACTTGTCCTAGTTCACTTGGACCGGAGCTCCGTTGCGCTCTACTTGGAACTGGTGTGACTGGAGAATGCCCCCCTTGAGGATATCTGGGTGCACCAAGCCAGTAGAATGGCTCACCCTCTTCCGAGTCAGTTGTGTCAGGGTTTGGCTCTGGTGTCATTGGTCTTCCGGTGGACTTCTTGTTTCTCTTGTGTGGTCTTGTAGCCTGACTTTGGATAATGTCCACTGGCAAGTCGTTTACTTGTAACAACAAGTTCCTGTGCAAGGTGCGAACAGGACGGCCTTGACACACTTTACTGGCCTCCCTGAAGGGATACAGCCTATGTCTGTGCTGCTATGAGAGAACGCCTCACACTCTTCCCTTAGCACCTTTTCAACTGACTCCTGTTGATCCGGACTCAGGTGGCTAAGATCAACTGGGGGCAGCCATGACTCAGTGGACAGTTCAGAAACAGAGGTGGCTGCACTTACCTCAGCTGTGGTGATGGGGCTTTGTGTGGGTTGAGTCACCTCTGATGTGTTTGTGGGTCGGTCTGTCTCAATAACTTTAGCGACATGTTGAATAGTACCCAGGGCTTTTCTCTTCGGTAGAATTATTTCGTGTTTGGAGTGGTTAGAGATGGGGACCTTAACAAATGGCCTTTGATGGTTGTTGATCTCAAGGAGCCCTTCCCCAACACTCAGGTGTCTCAAGGCAGTGTTCTCATCGGGTTCGTACAGCACCAGGGGGTCACAAATGTCAAAACTTTGGGGTACTCTGCACCACACTTGGACTGCTTTTCCAGCAGGAATGGTCACATTGC